ATTTTTTTAAAAAGTTTAATTTATTTATGCATGCAAGAATGAGGGTGTGGGGGGGGGGAGCGCAGCGAGAGGCTTCACCAGAGACAGAACAGGAGCAGAACAGGCCGACTTACTGAAATACCCTGCTGAGGGGAGCAGTGGGCAAGACAGAAGAGGTCTGCTGTGCCATGTGGGTCACCTCCCTGGCTGGGGAGAGAACTCATACTGCAGTGGCTGCCAATAGCTGAGATTTAATGCCTTGCACAACCAGGGAGGCCCTCAAAGTGACTTTTTCAAGCCCAGTGCTTAGATGCTGTCTAGTGTTCTAAGCACAAGACGGCTGTGATATGTTTATGGAGTATTAGACAAACTGCATTCACACATATTTTTTGTACTGTTCTCTTGAGTTCTATGTTAATGACCTATCAACATATATTAAATAAGATGTCCTTAAATAGAAATATGCCTCAAACAGGATTATGTATTGAGTAGTTGATGACAGTGTTGTGACCCCAGGCTTCAGGCGCTCTACCCGGTAGCTCCCAGTTTTTCTGTCTGCTGGAGGTTTGTTTATGTGTAGCCACGTTTAAAAATAGGAATCAAGAAAATGGTGTTTGGCTACACTATCAGAGGGCAGATAAACTGATGAGCTATGCCAGGGAGTTTTTATTCATGTATTAAAATTTTTAAGGATGAAATATTTCAGATATGCAAAAGATCACATGTAGTAAATACAGAAAACCTCAAGAAATAGAATATCACCTAATATGAATTATAACTGCAGTGAACTGGGCATCCCCTGGGCTATGAAACTGATGAGAAAAGGAGTAATAACAGCTAACAGTGATATTAATGACCCAGTATGGGATACAGACTCTAGGCAGAGCTCTGTCCTGAGCCCTTAAAGTTGAATTCTCATTACAGTGATCCCCCCACACAAGGTTGGTACTGTTATCTCCAGTTTATAATAAATGGAACTTCGAGTCAAAGAAAAAAAAAGAAATAGAGATAGAATATTAGCTGTACTTCCTGAATGCTCTCAGTATAACCTTTCTTCTACTTCTCCATTAAGGACCCACTAGCCTGATACCTGTATTATCATCCCTTGGTTGAGCTTATGATTCACTTCATATTTATCTCCATGTGGGTGTGCATGTTTCTGAATTCTATATAAAGATTTCATATCGCATGAATTCTCTTAGCAGCTTTTTTCCCTTTGTTGATTCATGACAGACTCAACATCCGTGTTGGTTTGTGTAGCACTAAGGTATTCATTGTAGCATCCTGCAGTTTATTGTATTACTCAACTTGATGTAGAATTTCATATTCTATTACAAAAAAATTATTATGTGTGTCTCTTAAAGTACTTACTTGCATGAAAAGAATTTTTCCAAGATGCTAGTTTTGTTTTTTTTTTAAAGATTTTTACGTATGCATACTAGAACTGGGATCCAGGGCAGAGGTGTGGGGGGTGAGAGGATTCACCAGAGACAGAATGGGGAACAGAGCAGGCAGAGTGATCAAAACACACTGCTGAGGGGAGCAGAAGGCGGGCCAGGAAAGGTCTGCTGCACCATGTGGGTCACCTCCCTGGCTGGAAATCAAACTTGTGCTGCGGTAGTTGCGGATGCAACTACCATAGCTTCATAGTGCTATGCTTTAACCTGTTATACCACCAGTGAGGATCCTAGATTTCTTTTAAGAGGGGAAAAGAACAATAGCTTGAAAATAGAAAGGAAGAGTAAAGTGGACACCAGCCTATACCCACATCTGGGGTTGGAGCTGCTAAGAGGCTGCAGGAGGAAGAGGATACTGAAGCTTCTGACTTGAATGCCTTTTCCTTACATCAGAGAGATAATTACTTGGTGATTCCCCATCATTTCCAGGGTGACTTTTTTCTCTGGCACACCCTTGCATTTGATCATCTTCCTAGCTACAGGCAATCGAGTTATAACACACACAAAAAAATCAATACTGATCAATAATTCAGACATTCAAAAAGAATTGGCTTACTTTGCTTATTTATGTGAGGTCTGTCATATGACCTTATAAATAATCATCTATCAAGTCCATTATTCATTCTGTTTAATCAGTGAATATTTACTGAGTGTTTTATATACCTAGTACCATGTGGATTCTTGTAATACCAGTATCAACAACAAAAACTGACAGGTTTATCAAAGATAAACTGTCTAGGTTTCTATGCCTTCTCTAGGTTTCTTCTGCATCCCAAGTTCCTCCTATATCACACCTTTTAATGAAGCCCCAATGAAGCAGCATTGTTAAAAGTAAGGAGTAGTCAAATAGATTCTATTTGAAGAGAGACCCTCCCTAGTGGCATAAGAGGTACCATAATGCACATCACTATGAAGCTACCCGCAGCTGCTGCAGCACAAGTTCAACCCCTGGCCAGGGAGGTGACCCACATGGCCCAGCAGACCTCTCCTGTCTCACCTGCTGCTCCCCTCAGCAGTATATTTTAGTCAATCTGCCTGTTTTGCTCCCCACTCTGTCTCTGGTGAAGCCTCTCACCCTCCGCACCTCTGGCTGTACCCAGTTCTTGTATACATAAATTTAAAAAAAAAAATTATACCTACAACCAAAGGCTGGTCACAATCCCAAGAAGGATGGGAAAGAAACAATAGCTTACATGACATTTGTAAAGTTGATCCTGCTCCTAAGCTGCTCTTATGTCTCTTGAATTTAGATTCCTCATCCCCATTGCATTCCAGCAGACCAACCGCCCAGTACCTGTTGTATATTCACTCAACACTGAATTTCAGCTCTGCAATAATGAGAAAGTGTTCCTAATGGATCCCAATACGTCTGATATGTCCCTGGCAGAAATGGACTACAAAGGTGCCTTCTCAAAAGGTCAGTTTTTCCTTCACCTGCAGAGCCTCTGGTGGAGGTGAGAAACAATTGAGTGAGGTTACTCATTAGTTTTCAGTCAGCTCATTAGTTTTCAGTTTTTCCCAGCGAAGATTGCTCTGGGGCCTGCTTCCAAGTTTTGGTCAAGAGGCAGACCCATGTTTTTCCTGCATGTTGTATCAATAAGATCACACAACTATCACTGGAATGATTCCTCACAGTAGTCACACCTCCATCCAACTGTGACTCAAATCTCTCTTCTCAGTAACGCCAAATCCATGGATTTTATATACTTTCTTCACTTTTGATTTCCTTTGTATCATCCTCACCTGGTACCATCTTTTTTCTGACGGCTTCTCACCCCTAGATCTTCTCCCTTTCTCTCATCTGTGTTGTGGGCCCGAGGTTCCAGCTTTGGGTCTTTCTGTTCTTTCTTCTGTGTTCCCTTTGCTCTGAACTTCCTGTACTTCTGCACTGGCACATCCATTCCAGCTAATCTGACCTCTTATGGACTTCACTTCCACATTTCTACATAGGAATCTGAAACCATCCGAAGTTTCTAGAATGTCACCTAGACATGTCTAGAATGGATTGTCTCTCTCCAGAAATGTTCCTCATACAGCCATTGCCTCATTACCTGCCTAGCCATACTCCAGGAGACCTGTCAACTTCTTCACCACCTCAGTCCCATCTATCATTCAGATGAGTGGGCTCTGACCTGTAAACATTTTGTATACTCATCCTCTTGCCTCATAGTTGCATGTTAGATACATACCTCTCACCAGAACATCAAAATAGTTCCCTTCTAGTCTGTCTTTATTCCACTCTCCATATTTCTAAATCCCAGTTGTGTTTCTATTATGCTCCTGTTTAAAACCTCTCAGTTACTTCCTGTTACTTGCATACTGAAGTCCAGAACATCTGCACTACTGCACCCACAAACCCTCTACTTGACTGTTATCCTGAGAGTCTCTCATGCTACAGCCTCAAACATTCTCCCCTCCAGTTACACATACTTATTCAGCACCACAGAGTAAATCCTCTCAGTGGATTGGAGTCAGTGAGCATTTGGAGTCAGAATGGACTGTGTTCAAACCCTTCTCCCCTCATGTCATAGATAGGAAAATTTGGACAAGTTATTTTAAATAAGGATAAGTGACTTAATTCTTCATGTACATGAAGAACTTGGTACCAAAGAGAAAAACCCAGTAACGATACCAGGGCCTATACTTTTCCAGCATTCGGTATTTTGTACATGAACTTTCTTTCGCTTCCCTTCCTCCCTCCCACCCCAAGTGCTCTGAAAAATGGCTGCTCATGTTTTGGATACTCCTTGAATATGTCTCCTCTTTAAATCCTTCTGTGCCGCTCCCAGGCTCATATGCTCATTTAGTATTCCATACCTCTTTCTGCTGTGAAACAGCAGTATTGTGTTGCTTTTGTCAATAATGTGGGTCTCAGAGCCCAAGTGATTTGACTTTGAGTCTTAAGAGTTTTGTGACCTTCAGTGAATCAATTAACCACTTTATGCCTTGATTTCCTCATCTATAAAATTGTGAGCACTACATAAGTTCTTACTGCTCGCACAGTGCCTAACACTGTGAGTAGGTATTTTTTAGCAATTGCTTTGCTTTTATTTCTGTTCTGAGCTATGCCTCAGTCACCTTTGCATCCTTTGCACATAACAGTTCTTGGCACAACTAAGTACTTAATGGCAATTGAACAAAAGAAGCAATGAGTGAGTGAATATTCGTTCATTTAGAGGCATCAGAGATCTTCATAGCAAGGTATTTTTGCCTCTGGAGCAGCTTGTTAAATCCTTTCTACCCTTGATATTTCTCTCTCTCTAATCTTAAAAACTGACCTAATTAATGCCTCTTCATCTTTTCAGGTCAAATCCTTTATGGTCGAGTACTTTGGAATCCAGAACAAAACCTCAATTCTGCTTACAAACTCCAGCTGGAAAAAGTCTATCTTTGTACTGGCAAGGATGGCTATGTGCCTTTCTTTGATCCCACGGGCACAATCTACAATGAAGGGCCACAGTATGGGTGCATTCAGCCAAACAAACACCTAAAGCACCGATTCCTGCTGCTGGTATGTGAACCGTTAGTGTTAAAAAGTCCACAGCAGGCCCTCCCTGGTGGCGCAGCGGGTTAAAGCACTGCACTGAGAAGCTAAAGCCACTTCCGCATGAGTTCGATTCCCGCCTGCCCCGGAGGCGACCACATGGTGTGGCAGACCTCTCCTGACCCGCCCGCTGCTCCCCTCAGCAGTGTACTTCGTCCATCTGCCTGTTCTGCTCCCCACTCTGTCTCTGGTGAAGTCTCTCACTGCCTCTGAGTCTCTGGCCTGTACCCCAGTTCTGTATGTACAAATAAATAAATCTTTAAAAAAAAAAAAAAAGTCCACAGCAGTAGGTTCCCTCAGCTGTGCATCCTGCCTGCAGAGAGGACTGCAGCCCACCCGGATGGTTTTCTACAGACATGTCTGTTATAACTATTGTGCTGGTTGTTTCTCTCTGAACATATAAATGCTAGTACACATTACCAAATGTGATGGTGTGTGTGGGTAGCAAGGGAAGCTGTTATTGATACTCAAGAAGGAAGAAAGTCGAGGCCAACGTTTCTCAAAATAGGGCCCAGATACCCATGAATATCTTCAATACTTTTTCAGGGAGTCCTCAACTTCAGAACTACTTTTATAATAATGTAATGATGCTTGCCTTTTTACATTCATTCTCCAGGCATACAGAGAATATCAAACATTTATTGATATAGTTTCAGATTCCACATAGTAACTAATCTTTAAAGGACACTACTTACCAAGCTTTGATCTAATATCAAAAAAGAATATCCACAGTTATATAAAAAAGTTCAAACAGTCCTCTCTTTTCCACCTACATAGCTATGTGAGGCCAGATTTTCTTCATATACTTCAATCTAAACAGCATATCACAGCTGATTGAATACAGACCTTATGAGAAACTAGTTCTTCTCCAAACACTAAAAAAAAAAACCAGCTCTCTTGGGGAGGTGAGATAAATTTTGATATTTTCACTAACAAATATGTTACTTCTGTTAGCATGTAGTGGGCTTTTCATTGTCATTTAAAAGTGAGTAGTAGCAGGGCCCTCCCTGGTGGCACAGTGGATTAAAGCACAGCACTAAGAAGCTAAAGCCACTTCCACATGAGTTCAATCCCCCACCCCGGAAGTGATCCACATGGCATGGCAGACCTCTCCTGACCCGCCTGCTGCTCCTTCAGCAGTGTACTTCATTGATCGGCCTGTTCTGCTCCCCACTCTGTCTCTGGTGAAGCCTCTCACCATCCCTGCACCTCTGGCGTGTACCCCAGTTCTGTATGCATTAATAAATAAATCTTAAAAAAAAAAAGTGAATAGTAGCAAGTAGCTTTAAAAGTTTTTTATATTAATTTCAATGCAGCAAATACTGATAGATAAAAACCACATAAACAAACGACTTTGAGGATACTTGAATTTTAAGTGTGTAGAGGGTCCTAAGACCAAACAATTTGAGGATAATCTGTGCTATCCCACTCGATGTTTTCACATCCCCAGGGCACCAAATATCCTCCAGAGAGGACAGTCGGTTCCCAGAGGCAGAAGTCAGCTCTAGGACCCAGCCTGGCCACACACATTCTCCCAAGCCACCCGGAGCAGGAGTGACAGCAGCTCATCCTGCCAGCAGCTACAGCCAGCCACTAGCATGGTTCCATCTAAATCTTCTTTTTGCTGAAATTCTAGGACCGCAGTCAGCCGGAGGTCACTGACAAGTACTTCCACGATGTGCCCTTTGAGGCCCACTTTGCTTCTGAGTTGCCTGATTTCCACATGGTCAGTAGCATGCCAGGTGTGGATGGATTTACCCTGAAAGTCGATGCACTCTATAAGGTGAGTGTGGTGGGAAGAATAGAAAAGCAGCTTCAAGGCCACTTTAAAGGTCCCAAAGTGGAGGAAGTGCTCATCTACAGACCGTCAGTTTCTCTTTATAAACTCATGTGGCAGGTCCTTCTTTATACTTTTGAAGATTGTCGCTCACCCCAAGTTTTCAGTTTTGTCCCCAAAAGACCAGCACAGTGATAAAATTCTTTATCTAATCTCGTGTCACTTTGTGCTTCAGGGTTATATACAATATGATAGTATTCCCTGAATCTTTACTTGCTTGCCTTCCTGACTGTGCTGCACCAGCTGATTTTTTACAAGCATGTCAAAGGCATTTAACAAAACGATAGCCACAATACAAGAGTTTAGAATGATAAGAATTACTTGTATCTGACAAGCAAAAATATTCTAAGTCCCAGTAATAAATGTGAAATTCCAAGATCAATTTTCACTTTTTTTCTGTCTCTAAATAGTGACCTATAACCTTGGATTTCAGAACTATTCTTTGAAAGTTGATTCAAACCCATAGAGGGTTTCAATGGGAGCAGATGAAATGAAACTAAAATAGTTGTTGATATAACTGCTATGTAGGTGACATGGGAAGTGGTCAGCCTTAGTAAATATTTGTTAAGTTGTGCACAGAGTAGCTATCTGGTCAATATTTGCTGAATGATTATTTTAACTGAAATTTATCAATAAAGAATAAATTAGCACAGGCAATGGACAGTTGCTAGGAAAGGATGTGTTTATTAATGCTGTTCCTTTGTTGTTATCCATAACGACCAAAAACTCAGAAGCATTCATTTAGCTTAAAAGGTCATAAAATAAAAGTTCTTAGGTCCATTCCATTCACAGACAGGGAAGCAGAAAAGAATGCGACTGCCTGGCCCCTGCTCACCTGAAGTTAGAAATAAAATAGTGGGCCTTCCCTGGTGGTACAAAATATTAAAGCACAGCACTATGAATCTGCCGCAGCCACTGTAGCATGACTTTGATTCCCAGCCAGGGATGTGACCCACAGGGTGCAGCAGATCTCTTCTGACCTGCCCACTGCTCCCCTCAGCAGCATATTTCTGTCAATCTGCCTGTTCTGCTCCTCACTCTTGAGTGAATCCTCTCCCCCCACCACATCTCTGGCTTGTACCCCAGTTCTGTATGCATCAATAAATCTTAAAAGAAATAAAATAGCACCCAAATATTTGGTTCAGTACTCTACCTTTTAGTGAGCAGCTTTGCTAATGCTTCTCTCAAAACCATTTATCAAGGCTTGTGGTGGCAACTGTCTTACCAGAGGTAGTTCCTGGACAGGGTCACCTGTTTGGTTTGTCACCCATTTTCTTCCTCCTGCAGGTAGAAGCAGGACACCAGTGGTACCTGCAGGTCATCTACATTATCGGCCCTGACACCATCTCAGGGCCCCGGGTCCAGCGCTCGCTCACCGCCCCTCTGAGGCGAAACCGAAGGGACCTGGTAGACCCCAGCGGCCAGCTGACACTTGACGATTCCCTCATTTATGACAATGAAGGGGACCAGGTCAAGAATGGCACCAACATGAAGTCCCTGAATCTGGACATGCAGGAGCCGGTTGTCGCCGCTTCTCTGTCCCAGACAGGGGCGTCCATCGGCAGTGCCCTTGCTGCTATCATGCTTCTGCTTCTGCTGTTTCTCGTGGCCTGTTTCATCACCAGGAAGTGCCAGACACAGAGAAATAAAACGCCCACCGAGGACATTTTGGAGGAATACCCGCTGAACACCAAAGTGGAAGTGCCCAAGAGGAGCCCCGACCGGGTGGAAAAGAACGTGAACAGACAGTACTGCACGGTGCGGAACGTCAACATCCTGAGCGAGCCCGAGGGTGCCTACGCCTTCAGAGGTGCCAAGGTCAAAAAGTTGAATCTGGAGGTCAGAGTCCACAACAATTTACAGGACGGAACAGAAGTTTAATGGAGGAGACCCACGCGTATTTTTTTCTAAAATCATTTTTATAAAACGGGGAGATACTGGTATTTTTATAATCTTGCAGATTAAAAAGGGAAAACTATAGCTTTGAGTGGCAGAAAGCACACATCACATGCATCAACTCACAACTGAGCTACCTCATTAAGCAAAGAACCACTGAGACCCC